CGGTTCAAAGCCAGCCCAGGCAGGAGAGACCGTGAGGCTCCTATCTCCAATAAACCACCAGAAAACCGGAAGTGGTGCTGTAGCTCAAGTGGTAGAGCGCTCGCCTTGAACTGAAGAGCTGAAGGACAGCGCCCAGGCCCAGAGTTCAAGCCCCGTGGCCGACCAAAAAAAAAAAAAAAAAAACAAGAAACAGAAATCATTATCTGTCCTGTAGTCCTTCCTTTTTTGCTGTCATTCCTTCCAAGGAGCCATTGTGCTGTCACACTTTGCATGCATATATAGACCCTGTCAAGAAGGCTTCAGGCTTCACAGTTAAGTGAAAAGGAGTTATTTGGTGTGTTTTTGTTTTTTGTTTTTTGCTCTTTTTTTTGGTCATGGAGCTAGAACTCTGGGCCTAGGTGGTGCCCCTCACCTCTGCACTCTACCACTTGAGCCACAGCGCCACTTCCAGCTTTTTTTTTTGCTTATGTGGTGCTGAGGAATCGAACCCAGGGCCTCATGCATGCAAGGCAAGCGCTCTACCACTGAGCCACCTTCCCAGCCCTTCTTTGGTGTTCTGTTGTTGGTTTTTTTTTTTTAATCCTTCATAGAGACTATCAACGATAAGTAATGCAGTTCGTATTTTTAAGTTGTCATAGTGAGATACTGAGAAGAAAATTTCAACTAGCAATAGTCATGCCTCAGATAAACCCCAGTAACTGTGATACTGCCACTTTGCAGAGTTGTTTTAATTTTTTTTTTTTTTTTTTTTTTTGGTTGATTTGGTCTTGTAGACTTGATTTTTTTTTTTTTTTTTTTTTTGGGGGGGGGGGTTCCGGTTGTGGGGCCTGAACTCTGGGCCTGGGCGCTGTCCCTCAGCTCAAGGCTAGGGCTCCACCACTTGAGCCACAGCGCCACTTCCGGCTTTTTTCTTTTTTGCTTATGTGGTGCTGAGGAATCCAACACAGGGCCTCAGGCATGCAAGGCAAGCGCTCTACCACTGAGCCACCTTCCCAGCCCCGGTCTTGTAGACTTGAAAACTCCTAAAGCTGCTCTGTCTCAGCTTATTAACATGAAGATATAGGGAACTAGGTAAATGGGCCACTGGCTCAGAGCAGGTAGCTTTACAAATAACACTGCTTAGCCTGAAAGCTTATTCCCAGCACATGATGGACAGGCGTCACCATGGGTTTGTGTTGATCTGCTAGGGATGTTTCCCTCTGCCAGATTGTTTCTTGGATAGCTCTTTTCTCTGCTGGAACCCACACTCTGAGGTTGCTTTCAAGAAACTGTTTTTGTCAGGATCTTGCCATGGAGCAAGCAACAGATCCATCAGTTTGGTGGTACCAAGGTTTGTATCATTCAGTGTCTCAGCACCTGCCAGAAGAGAGCTGAAATGTATCCGTAGGAGGGCTCTGGTTACAAAAGCACCATCTCTAGAGCTCAAGGCCCAGGTCTGGTGCCTCCATTTCCATGTTCTGTGTTGTTGGGGGACTTACTCAATCTTTCTACCTTCCCTATTCCCCCAGAAGATGAAATGACTATTGGGATCAAATGAGTTAACCTTTATAAAGTTCTTAAGTAAAGTCCCTTAGGTATTTGGCATACTAAATTATACCATACAAAGTATCTGACTCTGCTTTTCACCAGCATGTTGGATGAGCTAGTGATATCATAAGACACTGTGAAAAATCAAATCCTACCTACTCAAGAGGTAAGAGATGAAGACTGGTCATAGCCTCACACTAACCCGGGGGGGGGGGGGGGTCCTAAGGCCCCATCTTTTTTTTTTTTTTTTTTTTTTTTTTGTCGGTGTGGAGTTTGAACTCAGGACCTGGGCTGGGCACTGTCCCTGAGCTTTTTCACTCAAGGCTAGCACTCTGCCATCTTGAGCCACAGTACCACTTCCAGTTTTCTGGTAGTTTATTGGAGATCAGAGTCTCAGGGACTTTCTTGCCCTGCCCAGCTTTGAACCATGATTCTCAGCCTCCTGAGAAGCTAGGATTACAGATAGGAGTCATTCACACAGCTCAGGCCCCATCTTAACCCATAAAAGCTAGGTAGAGTCATGAACACCTGTCATCCCTGCTACACTTGAAGGACGAGGCTCACAGTCCAGGCCCTCTTGGACAGAAACATAATACCACATTCAAAGAGCAAAATGAAGCTGAAGATGTGACTTAAGTGGCAGAGTCCTTGGCTAGCAAGCACAAAGCACTGTTTGTTTTTTTAATAATTTTCTATTGAGATTAAATGATTGCATAAATTTCATAATATTATGGGATAGTGAAACTTAAAGTCGCAAACACATTTTAACCTTCACAAGGCAAATCATCGTTATCCTGGTCTATCAGGTTTGTGAGTTGTATAAATTTCAACAACACAACTATTTCTTCCAAATCAGGTGATCGGTACATTGCTTTCCTTTTGCTTAGTGGAAGCTGTTCCCTCTTTTCCTCTCATTCCCTCCCTCCCATCGCTGCCCTTGAGTTGCGAGGCACTGTTTTTTGTTTTGTTTTGCTTTTTTTTTAAATAAAAATAAAAAGAACAGTTCCCTCAATCACTGCAAGTCCTGTGGTAAAGGAAGCAGCTGCTTAGCTTCCCTCAGTATAAATAAGCTCAGAAGCTCCACACGTGCCGAGTGACTCGGCCAAGAGTGCACATCTAGGGTAGGGTGAGTGCAGCCAGATTGTGGCTGTTTAGATTTTAGGCCGCTACATCTGTACCCCATGTTGAAGAGAGCTGCTGCCGGGGATGGCCCACTAGTTAGACTCTTCAGATACGTCATCAAAGTGTAAAACTTCTGTGCTGTGGGAAATGATGGGGGCTGAGCAGTGTGTGTCATACTTAGATGAACACACACCTGCAGTGTTCCCCCACTCACCCACCCAGTACTGGCTCTGGCTCCTTTATAAAGGTACACTTTACAGCTGTCCTGTAGAAGCTGGTAGAATGTGTTCTTCCTTGCTTGCCTAGGGTTCTATCCAGTCTAAACCTGATGGTAGGAGGCAGCACATACCCATTGCTAGACTTGGTTTCTGTTGCTGGTTCCTATATTTGGCTTTCTTTATTGTAAGACTATTCATTAGAAGTATTCTTTTGTGGAGCTGGGAATGTGGCTGGCTGTGTGGTAGAGTGCTTGCCTAGCAATGCATAAAGCCCTGGGTTCGATTTTTCAGCACCACATAAACAGAAAAGGCCGGAAGTGGCGCTGTGGCTCAAGTGGTAGAGCCCTAGCCTTGAGCACAGGGAGGCTCAGGGACAGTGCCCAGATCCTGAGTTCAAGCCCCAGGACTGGCAAAAAAAAAAAGTATTCTTTTGTCTCTGGGCCAGAATTCTATAGTGGGTTCAAAAGTAGACCTCCTTTCTATCCAACTACATGCTACAGCAACAGAGTTGAATAATTACACAGAGACCCTGAGGTCTAAAATATTTTCTGCCAGACTCTTTAAAGGACAAATTTGCAGGCTGGGAAGGTGGCTCAGTGGTAGAGCACTTGCCTTGCATGCTTGAGGCCCTGGGTTCGATTCCTCAGCACCACATACACAGAAAAAAAAGCCAGAAATAGTGCTGTGGCTCAAGTGGTAGAGCGCTAGCCTTGACTGAAGAGCTGAGGGACAATGCCCAGACCCAGAGTTCAGGCCCCACAACTGGACCCAAAAAAAAAAAAAAAAAAAAAACAAATTTGCTGAAAACTCTATAAAGACTAAATGAAATTGAATGTAAGAAATATCCTTCAGGGCTCAGTGGTCGAGTGCTTGCCTAGCATTTATGAAGCCCTGGGTTCGATTCCTCAGTACCACATAAACAAAAAGCCAGAAGTGGTGCTGTGGCTCTAGTTGTAGCGTGCTAGTCTTAAGCAAAAGAAGCTCAGGAACAGTGCCCAGGCCCTCCCTGAGTTCAAGCCCCATGACTGGCAAAAAAAAAAAAAGTCAGGTAGCTACCTATCTTCCTGTCCCCTCCCCCTTGCTTCTCCTAGTCCAGTACTTCATGATGGGCTCTGTAGGAAAAGGTTTTTTTCTTGTGAATAGACTTCAGAATCTTTTTTTCTTTCTTTCTTTCTTTCTTTCTTTCTTTTTTTTTTTTTTTTTTTGCTAGTCCTGGGGCTTGAACTCACCCTGGACACTGTCCCCGAGGCTAGCACTTTACTACTCGAGCCACAGCACCACTTCTGGCTTTTTCCATTTATGTGGCTGTGAGAACTCAAACCCAGGGCTTCATGTATGCAAGGCAAAAATTACCATTAAGTCACATTCCCAGCCCCAGAATCTTTTTGAATGATGATCTTCATGCCCTTCAGCTAGACATACCCTCACAAAGCATGGTCTGTGCTGAGTTGTAGCTGTTGGGACTTTGAGCCAGTCTCTACTTCTCTATTCACTGTGGTCTGTACCTGGCATTGTGTCTGCCCAGGAAGACATTTGACAATCCCTTGTTCACACAAACTAACCAGAATGAATGCTCTCTTTTAGGGATGTGCTTTTTTTTCCCCTCCTTCCTGGTCATAAGGCTTGGACTCAGAACCTGGGTGCTGTCCCTGAATTTTTTTCTACCAGCTTTATCACTTTGAGCCACAGTGCCATTTCCAGTTTTCTGGTAGCTCATTGCAGATAAAAGTCTCATGGACTTTCCTGCCGCGGCTGAGTTCAAATGGGGATCCTCAGATCTCAGCCTTGTGAGTAGTTAGGGTTACAGGCATGAGCCACCAGTGACTTAGGGATGAATTTCCTTTTGTAGATTAAAAAAAATAAAAGCTGGGGTTGGAGGCATGGCTCAGGTGATAAGAATTCAAGCCTGTTAATGAAAGCATCAGATACTCAGTTTGAGTCCTAGTCTCAGACAAAAACAAAAGAAAAAGAAAAAAAAATCTGATCATAGGAGTAAGCACAGATCATTGTTCTGTTGGTATGTCACATCCTTTGGTGAGTTATTGTTTGTTTTAATCCTCATGGACAGTGAGTTGTTCCCTTTCTTCTGCCCATTCCTTGTATACTTAAAGTGCTTGAACTCTCCCTCCACAGGTCAGATACCAGGCCCAGGTTCTATGATGCCTGGGCAACCCATGCCAGGCCGCATGATTCCCACTGTTGCAGCCAACATCCACCCTGCTGGGACTGGCCCTGCCCCTCCTGGTATGCCTCCAATGCCTGGAAACATCTTAGGACCCCGGGTACCCCTCACAGCACCGAATGGCATGTGTAAGTAGGAAGACCTCTTACCTCAGAGCAATGTAGGAGGGTTGTGGAGAAGACAGAAAGACTTTGTTCTCTACTTGAGAAGGGCTGTAGACGGTACAGTCTGCCTACGGTGGGTTCCACAGGATCCATTTTGGTTACTGTTTCTCAGTATGGAATACTAATGAGTGAAATACTTCCATTAGCTCAGGCTTCATTCTCAACATTTAAGCCTGTGGAGAAGCCAGAGAGGTATTCATCTCCCACTCCTGTGTATACCTATCTGGTTTGAAGCTCAGTAGCTATACATAGCTTCTGGTTATTTTCCTTGTAGGAGCTCTTATGCATACAGAAGTCCAAGTGATGGACACAAAGGAAAAAGAATAAAAGGGTTGGGGTGTAGCTCAAGCCCAGCCCTGTTTTCTGTCTCTAGCACTGCTTCTGTCTCTAGCACTGCAACAAGAAAAAAGAAAAAATGAAGAATACAGAGTAGGAGAAACAAATATGTTTCTCATAGTTATTCTTAAAATAGTACTAACGGCTGCATAGACTAAGAAAGGGAGTATTCGGGGCTATGTTAAGAAAGAAATATGACAAAGCCCCTACAGGCCAACAGTGGAAACAGCACTGATAATGCTCAGCAAGCCTGAGACTGCAGAGGCCAGGTCACTTCTTCCCGAAGCGAGGCCCTCTGGAGAGTTGGCCTCTGTCTACCCTTTATCGTAGATCTTCCTAGTGAAAACAGTCCTGGAGGGTATAGCATTGGCCAGGACTCAGCTATGTCTGTGATGCTTCATTTTAGAAGTTTATGTTGTAAGAAGCTAGCTTCTAGTCATAAGACAATAAAAAGCAAGAATCAGCTGGGTACTGATGGCTCATACCTGTAATCCTAGCTACTCAGGAGGCTGAGGAGCTAGGATCACTGAGGATCTGAGGATCACTGTTCAAAACCAACCCAAGCAGGAAAGTCCATGAGACTTTTATTTCCATTTAATCACCAAAAAAGCTAGGAGCTGAGGCTCAAATGGTTGAGCACTAGTTTTGAGCAAAAAGAAGCTCAGAAATTATTTCTAAGCCCCAGGACCAGCACCACAAAAAAAAAAGAAAAACAACAATCAGAATACCTTGTCTCCAGAAGCTTTTTAGATAGGGGAAGGGGTGTCAGAATTTACTAAAAGTTATGGGAGACTACAAAGTACCTTGAATGCACTGTGGTACTCTGAGAAGGAAGACATTACAGGGAAGAAGGCTTTGCATGCGCATATGTATGTGCACACACCCACGTCCCTTCCGGACTCCCAAAGGCTGAAGCAATGTAGAATGTACAGGAAAAAAAAGACTGGTTTAGCTGGATGTAGCAGGACTAGAACATCTGCCCCTCAGATCATATATATAAGGCCTGCAAACTCATTTGGTACATAATAGGACAGATACATATGCTTTTTGTAGGCTGCCTGTAGCCATCTGCCTGCATAGCTAATTCTGTATGGCCTGTAAATGATGTTATAAATATCTAAATGGCCGTTGGCAGAAGAAAGGTACCCTGCCCCTAGATAGTATTATTCCTATAGAAAAATACAAGAGGGGTCTGGGAATGTGGCTTAGCGGTAGAGTGCTTGCCTAACATGCACAATTCCTCAGTACCAAATAAATAGAAAAGGCCAGAAGTGGTGCTGTGGCTCAAGTAGTAGAGCACTAGCCTTGAGCAAAAGAAGCCCAGGGATAGTGCCCAGGCCCTGAGTTCAAGCCTCAGAACGGGCAAAAACAAAATGCAGATGATCTCCCCATGAGGGAGAGCGTAGGCAGAGCTGATAGTATACCTCTGTACTATAGCACCTGTCTTGACAGATTACCAGCAAGGCACATGAACTGGCCTGCCAAGGAAATGAACCAGTTTGCCATTCTTAGTATGGAGATATTAATAGTTACCACTGTTCTAACCAGCTGATCCCCATCATGTGTCTTTATGATTCCACCCTAAAGGGTCTTGAGTGGTGACCTTGAAAAATGAATGTTTTAGAGGGTGATCTTCCTTAAATGAACATGCAATGGATTCTGAGCTGCTGACATAGCACTGGAGTGCTAGGCAGGCTTCCCACTTAGTTCCCACTACGGAAGGATAACACCCAGGATGAGATTATTGGATTTAAATGTGTTAAGTTTGGTAGAAACCTGAAACCTCTCAGGAATAGGGTTGGGTGCATTGACTGGTAAGCAAAGCTGTGCTTTTGTTATTTGTTTTATATTTCATTTTCTGGCAAGATCTAGAAACTTGTAAAACCTCTAGATTAAATAATCTCTAGGGTTCCTTTGTACACTAAAGCAGCTCAAGTTGAAATGGAAAAGGGCTCTACACACTCACACTAATTGTTCCCTTCAGGACTTGACCTAGTTTCGTTCAGAAATCCATGGATTGCAGTTCAGGAGTTGTGAGGGACTCCCCTGACTCCAGCTTGTCAGCATCTCCTCTGTGAAGTCCTGGCGCTGGCAGAAACAGTTAACCAGCAAAAACTAATTAATAATCTAGTTTCTGGCCAGCTAGGTTACATTTATACTGTGATAAAAAGAAAAAGAAGTCAGCTCTACATGGTTCCTGACACCAGAAATGCTCGCTGGTCTGGAGGCTGAGATGGGAAGATCTTGGTTCCAGGCCAGCCCCAGCATAGCTGCGAACTCCTTCTCACCTAGTAGACACCATCTCAACAATTAAAAAGCAGACCAAGATGGTATGCACCTTTCACAAGACCTGATCTTATACCAAAGCAAGCTGGGTACAATTGGCTTGCACAGATGGTCGAAACTACTCAGGAGGCTGAGATCTGAGCATCATGGTTCACAGCCAGCCCAGACAGGAAAGTTCATGAGACTAACGAAACCAAAAGGGGCTGGAGGGCATAGCTCCAGTGGCAAGAGCCTGCTAGCAAGCACAAGGCTCTGAGTATAGACCCCAGTACCACCAATTAAAAAAAAAGAACTTGACCAGCACTGAGTCTATTATTCAACTGCAAAAAATACAATTAGCAGAGAGCACTCTTAGAGTACACTGACATCAAAATCCATTGGCGTTCTGAAAGGGACTATAGTGACGCTTGGAGTGGGCTTTGGGGGAGGACAGGGTGGATTCAGACACCCCATCTTTTGGGAAGATGAGGGTAAGTAATAAATGAGCAGTGACCACATAGACTTCAGTGGCAGCAGGGCCTCATGGCAATCATGGCCAGCTTGCTTTGGCATTTTAATGTAGACAGGCCTCACTGCAACCTCTCTATCTAGGCTTCCCACCATAAATAGTTTCCTGTGTCCTTTTGCACTGAGTGGGCTTCCCCAAGCACCTTGCATTTCTAGCAGTAACAAGTTACTTTGGATGTCTTTGCAGATCCCCCTCCACCACAACAACAACCACCGCCACCTGCAGATGGGGTCCCTCCACCTCCTGCTCCCGGTCCACCAGCCTCGGTCACTCCTTAGCCTGGAAGATTCAGGGAGCCCACCACCAGCTGGAGTGGGGCTGACAAGACTTGGGTTTCTCAACTTCCTTGGGTTTCTTTCAGGATTTTTCTTCTGGCATCCCCAAGCACATGTCCCACTCTTTTTTTTTTTGCCCCCCTCTTTGAGCCCTGATGTGTCAGCTCCTCAGCTGACACTCAAGGCAAAGCCTGTGGCGACCATGTGCTCTGGCTATCCTAAAATCACCTGCGTCTCCCCTGTTCTGGTGGGGCCCCGTGTCGGCAGTTTTACCTGCAGGTCTCCTGTCGATGTTAGTATTCTCTTGTCTTTTGTCACTTTTTCTCTCCCACAGTTTGTTGCTTTGTCTCTTATGCTTCTATAGATAATACTCTGTAATTATTTTTTTTTTCCCCTGTTAGGATCCTTTGAAAGGAAAGCATCCTAAGTTAACAGGAACCAAAAATGGTGATGGGCAGAAGGAGCTAGCCACAGGGGGCACACCTTAAAAGGCATTAAAAGTGACCTTATTTCTGCTTATCTGAGCTAAGAATGGTGCTGCTGGTGAAGTTTCCTGAGATTTTTGCCACACATAAATGCACCAGAATTTACGAGGGGGGGAGGGGAAGGAAGGACTGCCCCATTGATTTATTCACACATGAGGAATGTGAACACCTCATCCTGCCTGGCGGAACATCCCGCTTTAACTAGTGTGTAGTAGAGGAGAGCCCAAGCGTTAGAACATATGGACTCGTCCAGGCCCACTGCTTCTGGTTTTCTAGGCAGAGAATTTTCTGGACTGGAGGGAGGAGGGTGTTTGGCTTTTTGAGGGCAGTTTGAGCTTTGAAGGATGGGATTTGGGGTGGCAACACTTAGCTCCTAGACTAGCTAGGAAAGTTTCAGGAGTCTGGGACAATGTCATCCATCCTCATCTCCCATGTTCCCCATCATCGTCCCCTTCCCCCCCCCTCCCGCCCCCATGAATCTAGCCTACTACATTCACTGCTATGTATGTGTTGTTGGGGGTTTTTTCCTCTCAAAAAAAAAAAAAGGAAAAAAAAAGTAGATAGTGATAATAACTTTTTGTAGCTCATGGAAATTGGTTAGAATGGCTGGGGGTGGTACCCAAGTCCCTAAACTACCTCTTGCAGTAGCCAGGGTGAACGGAATTTCTAGAAGCGGTACTTTCGGTTCCGGATGGGATTAGAAAAAGTGAGCAAGACTCTCACCCTCCCATGGGTACTCCCTTCCCTCTCAGATCTCATAATCCACTGTCACAGGGTTGTCACGGAGGTTCTAAGGGTACCAACAACCTCACTTGGATGCATCATGCTTTAAGGTTTGGGGTGCTAGGGCTGAAAGAGTGGGGTGCCATTCCAGAGGAAGATCCACTCCACACACACACACACACAAAAAAAAAAAAGCCTTAATTTGAGTCCCAGTCTTCCCCTGCTGATGAGTGACTTTGAGAGTTTCTAGTTTTCTCTTCCTGTCCTTCCCTCCTGTCTGTCCTTCCACTAGTAGTTAAAGGGTATTTGGGGCAAAGCTTGTTTCCAAAGGATCTGGCTTCACTTCACATTCTTAAGTGGCAGTTTTATTATTTAAAATGCAAAGGTTTTAGGACATCTTTTAGGTATCTTTTTCTAAATGTTTTCTAAAGCTTTACATATAAGACGGTATAGGGAGGTGTTTTTGTAAACACCTTAGAGCTTCTTCCCTTAATATTAGGATGCAAAAAAGTAAAACCACAATTGAGATTTGCCTTTCAAAAATCCTCAGGTTTGCCTTGAACCAGGTGACCCTGGTCACCCAGAGGACTGGAATATTGGAACCAAGGAGACTTCCAGACTCGGCGGGTGGGGGAGGTGGAAATGAGTTTGTTCCCACTGGAGTTTATTTGCCATGCATTTCCTTCCAGAAAGACCCAGTGCCTTGACAATGGCCGGGCTTATCTCAACTTCGTTCCTGTCTCTCCCACAGGGAACTCCCAACGCTCACCTTTTTTTTTCCCCCTGGAGTCTTAGAAGAATGAAATTCTGGTTCATACTGTGGTCCCTTGTAACCTCAGGTCTTTAATATGATCACTTTCAAATTTAAGAGATCCAGGCGGACATTATTTTTTACTATGCTGGTAATCTACAAAATACCCGAATTCAACAATTGTTACGTTTTAGTGTAAATGGTAACTTTTTTTTTTCTTTTCATGTCTTTAATCTGGTTTCATTCCTGTAATGCAACAACCCAATTTTGTGAGGGGCTGGGGAATAATACGTGGTTTTTGTACAAACCTGTTTCTCGGTGTGTTATTTTGGGAAAATGAGGAGAGGGGGGAAATTTGAAAGGTTGGAGGAAATGGATGAAAGTGGCTTAATCTCTTTTTCACTGAATAAATGAAATGCCAGTTCTGGATTCTAGTCCCATTTTCTGCATTCATACACCAGTTTCCTCACGTACCCCATGAAGAACCTCAATATTTAGAAGTGGCTCCTAAGAACCCTGCATCTGGTGATCATAAAAACCCATTCCTAGAGCTTTATCACCTCTGTTGAAGGGGCTTCTTGGAAACACCCTGTCCCTGTGGATGGATTATCTTCATTTAAGGAGGTCATCTCTCAGTCAGAATGGGTACACAGGTATGTCATGGACTCCTCATTTTATCTCCTATAGACCCTTCCCACAACTTCATTTCCTCTGTGGTTCATGTTTAGGCATGTCACCAGTCTGGTTAAGATCCTTTGAGGGGCTCAGTAGTAGAGTGCTTGCCTTGCATGCATGAGGCCCTGGGTTCAATTCCTTAGCACCACATAAACAGAAAAGGCTGGAAGTGGCGCAGTGCCTCAAGTGGTAGAGCCACGCGCCTTGAGCTGAAGAGCTGAGCGACGGCGCCCGGGCCCAAAGTTGAGATCCCATAAACTACAGGAAAAGAAAAATCCTTTGAGCCTGAAGTTAGGGAACATTGAAGCTGGACTTGAAGTAAACCAGAGAGTATCTAAAGGGAGGGATAAAATTCATCAAATCAACCCAAAGACGTTCTAGAACCAACTACGGCTGAGACCAACCTGCCCTGTTCTGATTCTTGGGGACCTTTAGGGTTAAGAAGTACTCGGTCCCTCTTGCTTCCGCTGGCCTGCCTTATAGAAATGCCCTTCCAGCTTGGGAGCAGCCACATGACCGAGACTGTTAGCTGCCTTTTACTCTTCAGGGGAGGCTCTACCACCTGCCCTGAATACACAACTTTGCAGACCTCAGCAAAATAGCCATACAAATGACAGGAGGAAAACACCCTCCCCACTGTACAGCAACCTAACATGTACCATGCCTTTGCTACTGGATAAGGTGAACGGAGTGGGTGGGGGAGGCACACAACACTGTAAGCACCTTTTGCCCAGGCTGATTTCTGTGCCTGCTTTGGCCCCAACAATGTTGGGACTTCCTCATCCAAAGGGATTTTGGCATGCCTTACTTGAGCTGATTCTGGAGTAGTTACAGGGTCCCCAACAAGCAAATCTCTTGTGCAGACAATCTATTTGTGGCTGTGTTGGCTTGTTACGGTGCTTTCTTCCAACAGGCTTAACTCTGGAGTTAGGAATAGACATTCCAAAGGACTTTCCAAACTGATGGCAAACCCATTACCTAGACAACCACTTCCAGGTTGGTATCCATTTCTGAGATTAGAGCACTGACTTAGTTTAAGAATCCAGGATACCCTGCAGTAAGGAGGCTGTGGTCAACACGAAGGTCCCAGCTCCCTGAGCTCTGTTCTTGAGACAAGTTTAAGCCTAACCCCAACATCTCATCAACCAGAAAATCACAGCAGAGGGTTCCACAGCCCTAAGGTTCTGTGTACTCTTGCTTCAGTTCCCTGTTCTTAACAGATCATAGCATTAACTCTTCGATGTGTGGGCAGGGGAGTGTGCAGGTCTTCCATTGATGCTCCTAACTAACTATGCATCCTGATTCTCTTGTGAGATTAAGAAGCACAATATTAGCCGGGTGCCAGTAGCTCACACCTGTAATCCTAGCTACTCAAGAGACAGATCTGAAGATTGCAGTTTGAAGCCAACCCTGGCAGGAAAGTCCATGAGACTATCTCCAATAGACCACCCAAAAGAAGCTGGAAGTGGCTTTATGGCTCAACATGATAGAGCACTAGCCTTGAACATAGAGAGGCTCATGGACAGAGCCCAGGCCCTGAGTTCAAGCCCAGGACCCGCAAATAATAATAAAGCAAATAATGGTTAATACTAAAAATGCAAAACTAAGAATTGTAATGTTTCATGTCTAAACCCAAGTATGCACTCTTGATAGTGGAGCAGCTCCTCCCCTGCAGGAAGCCTGGTGAAGCCAGTGGCTTTCTAATCCACAGGGATGATAGGCAGTAGCCATCATCCTTGTGCCTGCCTTGGCTTTGGAGGCAAAGCTGCCAAACCCAGTAGGAAACATGAAGAAGCCATTACCACACATCTCTGGTACCCAAATAGACATAGGAATTAGAGGGACATGAGCAGGACCTGTAGAAAATGGTCGTTTCATTCTCTAGTTTCTACTTCTTTTCTCGTCAGCCTCCCAAAATTGTGTGCCCAGAAATAAAATATGACATTCACTTTTAATTCCCCAGTTGGAGAAAGTGGTAACAGAATTTGCCTCCAGGGAAGGAGAAAAATGGAAGATAATCCAACATTTTGTACCATATGCTTGTTGATTTAAAATTTTAAAGGGAAAAAAAAGCTATTCAGGCGGCTGAGAGCTGAGGATCCCAGTTCCAAGCCACTCAGTAAAAAAGTCCCTAACACTTACCTCCAATTAGTCACCAGAAAAGCTGGAAGTAGCTGGGTGCAGGTGGCTCACACCTGTAATCCTAGCGACTCAGGAGGCTGAGATCTGAGGATCAAGGTTCAAAGCCAGACCCGGCAGGAAAAGTCCATGAGACTCATCTCCAATGAACCACCAGAAACAAAGTGGAGCTGTGGCTCAAGTGGTAGAGCCCTCACCTTGAGCTGAAGAACTGAGGGAGTTTTAACATGAGTGGTAGAGATTCTGTCTTCAGAGCATGTACAGATAGGAAGAAACCTAGTTTCTATAGAAACATATAGGAAAGGGAAGAGATGAACCATCCAACATCCACTCTTGATAAATCATCCAAGAGTCAAGGAGAAACAGTAACACCAGGACTGGGAAGGTGGCTCAGTGGTAGAGTGCTTGCCTTGCATACATGAGACCCTGGATTTGATTCCTCAGCACCACATAAGCAGAAAAAGCTGGACTTGGGGGCTGGGAAGGTGGCTCAGTGGTAGAGCGCTTGCCTTGCATGCTCAAGGCCCTGGGTTCGATTCCTCAGCACCACATAAGCAAAAAGAAAAAAGCTGAAAGTGGCGCTGTGGCTCAAGTGGTAGAGCTCTAGCCTTGAGCTGAAGAGCTGAGGGACAGCGCCCAGGCCCAGAGTTCAGGCCCCATGACCAGACCCAAAAAAAAAAAAAAGAAAAAGCTGGACTTGGCACTGTGGCTCAAAGTAGTAGAGCACTAGCCTTGAGGTGAAGAACTGAGGAATAGCACCCAGGCCCAGAGTTCAGACCCCCATGATTGACACACACACAAAAAAAGTAACATATATACAGTGGGAAATGGACTAAATAAGGATGTGTTTGTGGTCTCTGGCTGAGTACAAACTCCTACCTTGTTCTCTGCTTGGAGCAGAGATGTTTTTTTTTCTTCTGTCGGTTGTGGGGCTTGAACTCAGGGAGGGCCTGGGCTCTGTCCCTGTTTGTGCTTAAGGCTAGAGCTTTGAACCACAGCACTGATTCCAGTTTTTTTGGTGATTCATTGGAGATGAGTGCTGGCTTCGAACTTCAATCTTTAGATCTCAGCCTCCTGAGTAGCTAGGATTACAGGGGTGAGCCACTGGTGCCCAGCAGAGGAGGGATTCTTGTTGTTTGCTGTGCTGGTCCTCTGGTTTGAACCAGGGCCTAGGCACTGTCCCTGAGCTTGTTTTGCTCAAGGCTACCACTCTACCACTTGAGCCACAGCTCCATTTCCTACTTTTGTGGTGATTGGTTGAAGAGTTTCATAGGCTTTCCTGCCCATGCTGATTTCCAACCTCCAGCCTCAGATCTCAGCCTCCTGAGTAGCTGGGATTACAGGAGTGAGCCAAGAGCAAGTACTCCCACTGGTATTTTATTTTCCCCGGAGGCAGCACAAGGTCATGAAAAAGAGCCATAGGAAGTTATCCCCTTGAAGCTTAGTGCTCCAGACTGGAATGCTGAGAGGGTGTGGGTAGTTACTGTTCATTGATGCTTTTCTTAGGTCCTACAGAGCCTACTTCCCTACCTGGCACCAGTTGGAGACAGAAATCTACCTGGGCAAGCTGAGCCGACCTCATAGACTGGAACGGTAGGACAAGATCTTAGCTTTTCTGCAGGGAGTTTGCCAGTCATGGAGCTGGGGGTGGGGGGTCACTAGGCTGGGCAAATAGACTGCCAAAGAAATGAAACAACCCATCAAGACACATAGGGTGAGTGTGTGGTGGGGGGAGGCATATTAAAAGATGAAGTCTCTATTCTAGTTGCCTGACCAATGGGAGTCTCTCTCAGACCAGCAGCAGAGTTTGCCCTGGGACTGAGACTTGAACATAATCATTTGGACAGTAAGTTACACATCAAGAGGTAGATAGATGGTAATTTGGCTTGGGGGAGGGGGTTGAGGGGAAGGGAATGTCATAAACTACTGCATCTGCATGCCTCTCCCACAAACAGGTCTCCTAGATCCCCCCACCCGCACCCCCCACACACACACACACTGTGATCAGAAGACAGGTACCCCCTCCCCAAACTAACATTAGCCCAGTCTCGCATTCTCGCATTGACATCTGCCTGCCCTTGGATGGGCATTGGTGGTCCAGGACACCTTAGAGGAAGAAATACATCGCAGGGGGTGGGGGGGGTAGAAAAGGGACCAGAATTAAAGGCCACTCTCCAGGCTCCAGGCTGCCCAGAGGGTCTCCCACATTCACACACACACACACACACACACACACACACACCGTCGATGATGAGCCGTGTGAGATGCGAGCTCTCATGGCTTTGGCTGTGGACGGATTAGACACGATCCGATTAGAGCCTGTGCCCCCCACCCCACCCCACCTTTCCAGGCTCTGCCAATGTCTGCCCCACCCTGGTGGGGACCTCCCCCCAAAGGAACCCTCCCTGCAACACGGGGGGGGGGGTTGGGGTGGGGAGTAGAAGGGGGGGAGGGTTTGGCACAAAAACCCTTTCGGGCTCTTCCAGATTCCATATTGGGGGCTCCACCCCGAGCTTGCAGGTGCTGGGGGGGGGGAGGGAAAAAGGGGGTGTCTGAGCCTACCACGTTTCCCCCCCACACTCCCCGCCCCCATCCTGCCCCCACCCCTGCCTCCATACTCCCCGCGTTGGTGGATGGGTTGTGTTGGGGGGGTGGGGCTCGCCCCTCTCTCCTCCCCTGCGCACCAGGTCTGCAAGCCCTTGCACCTGTCGGCTCAGCGCCTGCCCCCCCCATCCCCGGCCCCCTCCACTCCCGGGGAATACAGCTTCCCCCCCACCCCCCCCCACCCGCAGGCCCCCTGCAGGAAGAAGGAGAGAGGCGGGCGTCCTCGCTACGTGCGGGGTGTGGGGGGGAGGTGGGGGGGGAGGTGGGGGCGGCGCCCAGCGCGGCGGCGGCGGCGGCGGCGCGGGAGGCGGGGAGGCGCGGCGCGCGCGCGGGGACAGCAGCGGACGGCGGCCGGCAGCGGCGGCGGCAGCGGCGGCGGCGGCGGCATGCGGCGGCTCGCGCTGCCCACCTGGGGCTGACTCGAGTCCGAGGGGCGGGCGGCCCGGGGGCCGGCGCGAGGCTGCGGCGCAGCGGGCCGGGCGGAGCGCGGACGGCGGGCGCGGCGGCCTGGAGACCGGGGGGTGGTGGTGGGGGTGGTGGGGGTGTGAAGGGGGGGAGCGCCGCCGCCGCCGCCGCCGCCGCACCATGGGCCGAACCCGGGGTGGGGACCCGGGCCGGGGACCACCCCCGCCGCTGCTGCTGTTTCTGGGGGTCACGTTAGTCTTCACTGCTGGGGCCGTGCCGGGTAGGTAATCGACTGGAATGGGGGGGGAGGATTCGAGGTAAACCCCTCGCGCCCCACCCCGAGCTGGTGGGGTGCAGCGGTGGGTGAAATGTGGGTGACGGTGTGTGGGGGGGGTCCCCCCCTCTCCTGGCTTCACATACAGGTGGAGTCTTGAGAGCTGTGGCCAAGGGGGCGGGGCACCGCCTTGCCCGCCGCCTGGGACCCAGACGGGGAGTTGGGGGGGGGGGGAGAGAAGGGAGGGAAAAGCGAGAGGAGGGGGGGTGCACTGCAGGAGAAAAGGAGGGGTAGCACGGGAGGGTGGGCAGACGGTGGGGGTGCTGCCGGGAGCAGAGCGCGCGGACCACAGGGTGGGATGGGGAGACAGGAGGGGGTGTGGGGAAGGTCTCTGTGGGCGTGGCCTACATGCCGGGGCGTGGTCTTTAGGTTCTGGGCGGGGCCTTATGGGGCGTGGTCTTGCGCGCTGGGCTGGCCTATTCGAGGGCGTGATCTGCACGTGGGGCGTGGTCTTGCGCGCTGGGCTGGCCTATTCGAGGGCGTGATCTGCATGTGGGGCGGGGTCTATTCGGGGCGGGGTCTGGCTGGAGGGGCGGAGCCCGGAGGGTAAGACTTCTGACCCGTCCTCTTCTCCCCCCCCCATCAGAGTTGGGGGCCCTCCTGGGGCTTAGCCTCTCACTCCGCGGGTACTGTCTATCTGTAGCTGGGCTGGAGATGGGGGGGGCAGTGGGAGATGGGGGAGTAACCACGGATTTATGTATATTTCTTTGACGGGGGGGCGGAGCTTAATCTTGGGGCGCGGGACGGTGGGGTTCTGAGAGCCGAGCAGCATTGGTTGCCACTAGGGTGGACGGACTCTCCCCCCGCCCCACCTCCTGGATGCCCTCCCACTCCTGACACCCCCCCTCCCGCCCACAGCGCGCGAATCAGGCAGCGCCATCGAGGCAGAGGAGCTGGGGAAGAGCGGCCTGGCCTGGGCACCGCGTGCCAATGACACGCGGGAAGAGGCTGGGGGAGACAAGACCAGGTGGACGGCGCCTGGCGGCGACCCGGCGGCCGCTGCTGCCGTGGACCCCGGGGTGGGGCCCGAGGAGACACTGGAGGCCTCGGCAGCCGTGACGGGCACAGCCTGGCTGGAGGCAGACAGCCCCGGCCTGGGCGGAGTGATGACCGCAGAGGTGGGCAGTGGCGAGGCCCAGGCCCTTCCAACGACCCTCCAGTCCCCCGATGAGGCCCTCGGGCGATCGACGATGCCCCCGCCCTCCCCTGAGGCCACTGTAGCCCACGGACCACCCTCCCCTACTACTACGGATGGCCGGCTGGGCGCAGGCTCTGAATCCCCCAAGGAGAGCCCCTTGGAGGTTTGGCTGAACCTGGGAGACAGCACACCCGACCCTCAAGAGCCAGACCCCACCCACCCCCTTAAAGGCACCCTAGAGCCCCAACTGCCGTCCGAAATCATTGACATCGACTATTTCGAAGGCCTGGATGGCAGAGATCGTGGTGCAGACCTGGGGAGGTTCCCAGGCTCCCCCGGGGTCTCAGAACCTCACCCCGAGGCTGACGGAGAGACCCCTTCTTGGAGTCTGCTTGACTTATACGATGATTTCACCCCCTTTGATGAATCCGATTTCTACCCCACCACGTCCTTCTATGATGATCTAGAGGAAGAGGAGGAGGAGGAAGAGGAGGAGGACGAAGACAAGGATGCAGTGGGAGGTGGAGACCTGGAAGATGATCGTGACCTTCTGCCCTCTCAGAAGCCCGGGGTGGGGCCTGGTGCAGGCCAGCCCACTAGTCGGTGGCATGCTGTCCCTCCACAGCATACTCTGGGGATGGTCCCTGGTGGCAGCATCGCCCTCAGGCCCCGCCCAGGAGAGCCGGGCAGGGACCTGGCCAGTGAAAATGGCACTGAGTGTCGCAGTGGCTTCGTGAGGCATAATGGCTCCTGTCGGTCAGTGTGTGATCTCTTCCCAAGCTACTGTCACAATGGCGGCCAGTGCTACCTGGTGGAGAACATAGGGGCCTTCTGCAGGTAAGGGTGTGTCAGGCATTTGAGTTGGAGTTTATTAAAAAAAAAGAAGAAGAAAAAATCACCTGAAGAGAGTAGATGGGGGGAGGGAGGGAGGCTGGGAATGTGACTTTAGTGGTAGTGCATGAAGCCCTGGGGTCGATTCCTCAGTACCACTTTAAGCAAAAGCCGGAGGGGGCGCTGTGGCTCAAGTGCTGGTTTTGAGCAAAAGCAAGCTCAGGGACAGTGCCCAGGCCCTGTACCCAGAGATTGTAGATTCCCAAGTCAAGAGAGATTTTATTAGCCACTCTCACACTTATCATCCTAGCTACCCTAGGAGGCTGAGGATCATGGTTTGAAGCCAGTCCAGGGAAAGAAACTCCATGAGACTTATCTTCAGTTAAGCACCAAAGAAGCCAGAAGTGGAGCTGTGACTCGTGATAGATCACTAGCCTTAACCAAAAAAAAAAAAAAAAAGAAAGGAAAAGAAAAGAAAAAAGCTAAGGGACAGTACCCAGGCCCTGAGTTCAAGCCCTAGGACCTGCACAAAACAAAAGAAAGAGATTTTACTCAAAGCCAGGTGTGGTAACATATGACTGTGATCTCTGTTCTGGGCTGGGGATGGAGGGTAGAATTGGGAGGATGACCATTCTCTTATCACTGAGAGAGAGGTTTCTAAGAAATAAGATTTTGTGAGTCCTCTACACATTGTGTCTTCACCCAAATCACTCTATGCAAAAGGCAAGGCTTCTCTGAAGGTTTTAGAAAGAAGCCTTTGTGAGACTGAAGGTTAGTGTGTGCGTGTGCGTGTGTGTGTGTGTGTGTGTGTGTGCACGTGTGCGTGTGTTTTCCTGGAGAATGTTGGCCATGTTCATAAACAGGGCAAGCACTGGGCTGGGAATGTGGCTTAATGGTAGAGTGCTTGCCTAGCATGCATGAAACCCTGGGTTCGATTCCTCAGTACCACATACACAGGAAAAGCCAGAAGTGGTGCTGTGGCTCACATGGTAGAGTGTTAGCCTTGAGCCAAAGCAGCTCAGGGACAGTGCCCAGGCCCTGAGTTCAAGTCCCAGGAATGGCAAAACATAAATAATAAATAAGAAGCAAGCCTGGAAACTCACTCTGGAGGAAGGATGGCTTCTGCAGGCAGCAGGCAGGCTAAAACTGAAGGCAGGAGGTAGGCATGTCAAGTAATAGTGATGACCCTGGAGGAAAAGCCAGAGGAGTGTCCACTTCACAGGAGAAATCAAGCTGGGTCTTTCCTCAAACCTTGTGGATGGGAGGTGTTTCTTCATTATGTATGAAGAAACACGTGTGTGTGTATGTGTGTGTGTGTGTGTGTGTGCTCGTCCCGAGGCTTGAATCAGGGCGTAGGCATCTTTGGCTCAAGGCTAGTTAGTGCTCTACCGTTAGAGCCATAGCACCACTTCCAGATGTTTCTAAATAGTTTGTTAAAGATAAGAGACTCAAAGACTTTCCTGCCCGAGCTGGCTTTGAACCACTCTCCTTAGATCTCAGTCTCCTGAGTAGCTAGGATGACAGGTGTGAGCCACCAGTGCCTAGCGGCTCTTTACTTTCTATTTCCATTGAAGAGTTTAAACATCCCTGAAATGGCCTCAGCCACTATCCTACACCTTGTCAGTGAATACCTGTGTCATCTCACTCACCAGGGAAGTTCTGCTGTCTCCTTGAGAGCATACTGCCTTCTCCTGGAAGGATTGCAAGTCAGAGTTGATCCAGGTGCTGCAAGTGAAGTACTGCACTCAACTCCCCTGAGTCTTATTCCCATTGGTTTTGGGAAGAACATGACTCGTTTTCTGTAGGTTTCTTTTTTTTTTTTGGTCCGGTCGTGGGGCCTGAACTCTGAGCCTGGGTGCTGTCCCTCAGCTCTTCAGCTCAAGGCTAGCACTCTACCACTTGAGCCACAGCACCACTTCCGGCTTTTTTCTTTTTGCTTATGTGGTGCTGAGGAATTGAATCCAGGGCCTCATGCATGCTAGGCAAGCACTCTACCTTAGTAAGCCACCTTCCCAGCCCAATGCTGCTGCTTTCTTTTTTTTTTGTCGGTTGTGGGGCTTAATCTCTGGGCCTGGGCGCTGTCCCTCAGCTCTTCAGCTCAAGGCAAGTGCTCTACCACTTGAGCTACAGTACCACTTCTGGTTTTCTGGTGGTTTATTGGAGATAGGAGTCTCATGGTCTCTCCTGCCCGGGCTGGCTTTGAACCGTGATCCTCAGATCTCAGCCTCCTGAGTAGCTAGGATTACAGAAGTGAGCCACCAGCGCCCAGCTGCTGCTTTCTTTAGAACTATGTGAAGACTAGTTTCATACAGAAAGCCATGAGGCCTGGCTGGCAGCTCATGCCTGTAATTCTAGCTACTGAGGAGACTGAGATCTGAGGATCAAGGTTTGAAGCTAGCCCTAGCCAAGGAAATCCATGAGACTCTGATCTCCGATTAACTACCAGAAAGGCTGGAATTGGAGCTGTGTTTCAAGTGATAGAGTGCTAGCCTTGAGCAAAATAGCTCAGAGGCAGTGCCCAGGCTCTGAATACAAGCACCAAAAAGTAAAAATAAAAAATAGAGAAGGGGGGATAGGAAGGAGGAGGAAGAGGAGGAGGAGGAGGAGGAGGAGGAAGAAGAAAAGGAAGAGGAAGAAGAAGAAGAGGAGCAAGAGGAAGAGGAGGAGGAGGAAGAGGAGAAAGAAGAAGAGAAAGAGGAGGAAGAAGGAATAGAAGGAGGAGGAGCACTGAACGTTGTACCTTTGGCACCGAAGCTGAGTTCCAGTTCTGTTCTATAGATGATCATGATCTGTAGGGTCACTAATACAGGATGTGACCCACACAGTTCTGGTTGGAGTTGTCCAACCATTGCCAAGAATAGGTTCTCTGATTTAGAAATTAAGGCAGGCCAGTGCCCGTGGCTCATACCTGCAATACTAGCTACTCAGGAGGCTGAGATCTGAAGATCAAGGCTCAAAGCCAGGCCAGGCAGGAATGTCTGTGAGACTCTCATCTCCAGTGAACTACCAGAAAACCAGAAGTGGCACTGTGACTCAAGTGGTAGAGTCCTCGCTTTGAGCTGAAGAGCACAGGGACAGTGCCCAGGCCCAGAGTTCAAGTCCCACGACCAAAGAAGCTCAGGGACAATGCCAAGACCCTGAGTTCAAGCCCTAGAACTAGTGAAAAAAGAAAAAGAAAGAAATTTGGAAGACCTTGCCCACTCATTAAGGGCTACCAGAAATTTGAGGGAACTCTGGTTTTACTTCTATCTGGTAAAGTGTAGTAATGTTTACCTTGAAGGATGGAGAATCTCTAATGTAAAATCATCTCATCCTACTGAAGGTCTAGGGGTGTGTGTGCTGTGTGTGTGTGTGTGTGTGTGTGTGTGTGTGTGTGCTGGTTCTAGGTCTTGAACTCAGGGCCTGGGCACTGTCCCTCAGCTCTTCAGCTCAAGGCCAGGGCTCTACCACTTGAGCCACAGCTCCACTTCTGCTGGGGTTTTTTGTTTGTTTTGTTTTTTGTTTTTGTTTTTGGTGGTTAATTAGAGATAAGAGTCTCATGGGCTTTTTTTTTTTTTTTTTGCCCTGGCTGACTTCTAAACATGACACTCAGATCTTATTGAGCCACTAACGCCTGGCTTTTTTTTTTTTTTTTTTTTTTTTTTGCCATTTCTGGGGCTTAAACTCAGGACCTGGGCACTGTCCCTGAGCTTCTCTTGCTTAAGCCTAGCACTCTACCACTTGAGCCACGGCACCATTTCTGTTTTTTCTGTTTAGGTGGCACTGAGGAATCGAACCCAGGGCTTCATGCATGCTAGGCAAGCACTCTACCACTTAAGCCACCTTCCCAGCCCACAAACCTGGCATTTTTAACCTTCCAAGCGAGCGCCCTCATCTGCGTGCAATGTGGAGTCTTTTGCTGGCTCTAGAGAGCTGTAGATGCACCCAGGACCTTCTAGAACTGGCGAGGAACTCCCAAGTGGAAGAGTGTGGTTGTCCTTTTGCTTAATCTGCTGGGCTTTGCTGCTCATGGGGTCCACAGTCTGTATCCACATGCTCGCTCCAGTCCTCCCCGCTTTAGCTGCCCTCCCAAGATCACCTTCCCAGACTCCTGCACCCACTCGGCACACCCAGGCCTGGCCAAAGGCTGGAGAACTATTTTACATTCCACTCACAGGGAACTGCTGAGCTTTTTAGTTACAGACCGCAGTGTGCCTTTGTCTCTGTCACCATGACCCACTGCAGGCGAAAAAACCGATGGGGATGGGGAGGGGGGGGGGAGGGTGGCAGGGGGGAGCTATGGCAGAATTCCTCTAGACCACTAGGTTAAGAGGGCCCCCACTTAGAGAGGGGGGATCCACATTTCCCTAGCAACCTCAAACACTATAATCTTTTCCCCTACCCCCACCCACCCGCCCGTGACTACAGAGGGGTTCGGTTTGGAAAACAAAAGACGAATGATTCCATTGGTGATGTAGAATAGACGATTCTTTGGCTACCTCCCCCCCCCCCCGCCCTCCCTCCCCCCCCCCCGCCCGCCCTCCCCCCCCCCCCCCCCCCCAGCTCTTGGGCCTCTTTCTCTAGTGTGTCATTCACCCTGAGGTTCATGTCCTCTCGCCTTTGCCTGCCACTGTATCCTTCCACATCTTTTCCTCTTTGAAGCAGCCTGGTTCCCATGGAAACAGCAATGTCATTGGAAGAGTTGGAGCCTGGGAATGTCCCCAAGGGCAGAAGAAAGTCACTCCACAAAAGGACGGAGACCCACCCAGAGAGTTGCTTCTCAGTCTGTTTGCTTGATAAGTTCTCCTAGTCAGAGGGCCGCTTGAGGGTCCAAACTTGTGGGGTATGAGGAGAAGGGGAGGCGGCCGAGATAAGAAGAAGATATGCATCCATCTTTAGGTTTTTTTTGTCCTTGTCCGCCAGCTCCTGATTTTTTTTTTTTTTTTTTCAGTGTCTGGTTAACCAGATGAACTAGATAGGATACAAAGTAGCCAGCTCAGCTTTTATGTAGGGTGGATCCTGGGGCTAGTACCCATAGCTCTTGTTTATCCTGAGCCTTCATCTGTCTTTTATCCAGAAAGAGGCCGGGGCAGGCAGAGGACCTGATAGAACCCTGTGGTTGTCTTGCTTGAGGCTGCAGGGCAGAAGATGCAGGTTCCTGTTTGTCTGCAGTCACTCAATAGCCAAATTAAAACTCAGCTGTTGGTCTGGGAATGTAAGGATCACTGTTCGAAGCCAGGCAGGAAAGTCCCTGGGACTCTTACCTCCAATTAACCACTCAGAAAAAGTCAGATGTAAGGCTGGGAATGTGGCTTAGTGATAGAGTGCTTGGCCTAGCATGTATGAAACCTTGGGTTTGATTCCTCAGTACCACCTACACAGAAAAAGCCGGAAGTGGCACTGTGTGGCTCAAGTGGTAGAGTGCTAGCCTTGAGCAAAAGAGGCTCAGGGACACAGTGCCCAGGCCTTGAGTTCAAGCCCCAGGAATGGCCAAAAAAAAAAAAAAAGGATGGGATGAGATCTGTACAGATTAAGGGGTAGACAGTCCCAAGAGCAGGTTGTGGGGGTGAGCATTGGGCTCAAGGACGTGACCCACGCTGCCTGCCCCATCCCCTCCGTCTCTCTATGGTATTGCTGCAGGTGTAACACACAGGACTACATCTGGCACAAAGGGACGCGCTGTGAGTCGGTCATCACTGATTTCCAGGTGATGTGTGTGGC